AAATAAATATATTAAACAAATATGTTGCACAAAGGAAAATGAGAAATGAAGTTGTGAATAGTTCAAAGCAACTTTCAGTATGTGTCCCTGAGGTAATTACATGCTAACAGAATGAGAAGAGATGCCTTGTCACTGCCAAAGCCAAAAAGGAAAAATGAAGAAGCTTTCAAATCTCACACCACCTGTGATCATCATCAGGGAATAGTAATCCAACAAAGGTGACTGTTTTTTTTTTTAAATCCCAGGCATGATAACAGGTAGAATCTATTTTATCCTTTTCTCAGGTTATTTTAAATGCCAAGAATATACGCTATACACAATCTGAAACCAGTTCTCACAGTACTGGCCAGAACAAGTGGAATTTTCAATCAAGCTTTCCCTCCAATCCCCAAGAACTGCTCTATTGCGGAACAGACACCCTAAACACTACAATCTTAACCTTTTACCTACTAATGTAACTGTAGAATACAGGGTGCACCATTATCTATCATCCTTATCTTCATAATCTTCACTTCATACCACTTCCTCTTTTCATTCACATGATGCACCTCATTCAGCATAACAATTTTAACATTTTATCTATCAAATATCAGCTGAAGTTTTATGATTCTCTCTTTAGTTAACAATCAGCACTCTCTCTCATTCACTCTGCCCCCCCCCCAAATTACTCATTGGTAAAAGATGTTGTGAGACTCACAACTTTTGTTGCAAAGTGGTAACATTTTCTTTAACTAATATTTATGGGCTCCTGGTACATGTGTCCTACAAACAACGATGACAGACTCTTATGAGTCTGGGCAAAAATAAGAAAAAATGGAACTTAAACAAACAAGTATATATAAACATATTAAACAGATAAGTTGCAAAAAGAAAAATGAGAAATAAACTTAAAGTTGTGAAAAGTTGAAAGCAAGCTTCAGTATTTGTCTCTGAAGTACTTTTTTTTTTACAGTAAGATTCACCCTTTAAAAGGCTTAAGAGACACTTAAGGTAGATGGTTACTGTAGAAGTCAAGTGACTTACCTGCCAACATGGCTGCCTTCTTGTGTTTCCTCGTAAAGCAAGCCAGCTGATTTTACCTCAATTTTTAGGAGAGTGCCTCATACACCAGTTAGGTTGGTCCATTTTGCTAGAATGGACCTGTCCAATACATTTGCATGAGTGGTCTTTATTCACCCATATATTTCTCCATGAAATGACTCAAGTCAGTTGGCTTTTGGCTACACTAGCCTACTTGTGTGTCAGACTACTGGCAAGCTAACCAATATTCTACAGTTACATTAGTAGGTAATTTGTACAGACAGAAATGGAAGTTAACAGTTAATCCTAGACTTGAACACTAAATCTGTAAGGTCACTCTCATATTGTACTTAGATATTACAAAATTGAACTTGATTTCACTTTTTTTGAACTTCATAAAAAAAGGTATCTACAAAGCTTAACTTTATTTTACCTAGATACTTTCCCAATACAAGGACCAAGAGCCACTCAAGGTAGAGGATTACCAAATGAGTTTGTTGTATAAATATAAGAGGAAGAGGTTATGTAGATTAAGAAGATATGTAGAATAGATAACAGTTCACCATATCCTTGAAGAGGTTAAGATTATAGTGACTGGAGAAGAGTCTTGTGATAAGAAGCTGTCTGAGTGGAACTTCCTCCTTATCAATGGAATACAAAGAGAATTGCAATGATTTGAACCCTCTGTGTAGGGCTTTTAAGGTTTAAACTGGTGGAACTAAGGACTGTAGGTCATCTGAACATTTTCCATGGAAATAGCTAAAGAGTAGCAAGAGTCTTGCAATGTTTCATATGTAGGAAAGCAGCTGTATAGTTGAAAATAATTCATCACCCACAAAGCCACATATACTTAGTTTGGTAGTTTTGGGTACCTCAAGGTAGTGTAATGGTTAGCAAACTTGTCTTGATAGAACAATTACAACTGAGTAGTGAGTTCAATCCTCACTGGGCACCCCTTACTTTCGGCCTTGTGCCATATCCAAGCTACGCTTGGAAAATCACTATACTTAGTTTGGTATAAAACCATAACTGTGGAGTACCCAATGAGAATTAAACATTACAGTATTCAGTTTGTGAGAAGATTCTACCACTTTGCTCAATATCAGTATATGGAGATATTCACTAAGTTTAGTCTGGTATACAAATACCAAAATGAATCTCACAATATTATTAAGAATTTTAGTAACTTATAGTAAACTTTTGAACTCACCACTGCTTGATAGTAAACATGCACAAATTGTTAAGTAGATTTGGACAATGCTGAGTCTTCAGAAAGCAACTTCTTTGGATATTGGAACATCTGAAGAAGAAAAAAAGCATTATAAACCATGGATGGAACTCATAAATCCACTGTAATAAGGCAAACAATGTATAGATAATAATCCTCCATTCGAAAAAGAGACTGATAGAAAAATGAAATAGAGACAAATGCCAACACACAGGCAAAGGCAGACATGCAAACAGGCAGAGACAAATGCCAGCACATGGGTAAATGCTGACACAGACAAGCAGAGACAAATGATGACAGATAGGCAGAGACAAATGCCAACATGCAGACAAATGCAAAAACCTACACGCAGAAAAAGGAAAAGGACAACAAGCAGACAGTCAGTAACAAACACTGACACACAAATAGGCAGAGAAGAATGCCAACACACAGGCAAAGGCAGACACACACAGAGACAGTGACAAACACCAATACATGGATAAGCAGAGACAAATGCCTATACACAGACAAAAGCAAAAGCTGACATACAGACAGGCAGTGACAAACACCAACACAAAAGCAAAGGCTGACATGCAGACAGGCAGAGACAAATGCCAACACACAGGCAGGCTAGACAAATGCCAATGCACAGGCAGAGACAAATGCCAACGCACAGGCAGAGACAAACGCCAACGCACAGATAGGCAGAGACAAACGCCAACGCACAGATAGGCAGAGACAAACGCCAACACACAGATAGGCAGAGACAAACGCCAATGCACAAAATCAAAGGCTGACATGCAGACAGGCAGTGAAAAATGTCAGCATGCAAACAGAAAGAGTCAAATGCAAACAGGTGGACACAAGCACAGACTGGCAGAGACAAACTGAAAGACACAGACACAAAGGTAGAAATAGATAATTTATCTTTAAAAACATAAAATGAATCCTGGAGCAGACAGTAAGAAAATGTGTAGATGAAAAGTGAGTTTAAGTTTCAGATGGATATGGTTCTGGCCTTCTCCATCTCTACCCAAACAAATCACATTGCCATTTCTTTGTCTTGTCTGACTAATTTAGCCACACATCGATCAGTCTGACTTAGGCCGTGATATAAAAGACAATCTCTACCATTGTCTTTTTCACCCAAGCACTTTATCTTGTAATACAAAATGTCTGTTTAGTTTTTACAAAATTTAACCAAGTCTAGCATATGTTCCAAATAGTGAAGCACTTAGGAACAGCCAAACACATTTGCTATTTGTTATAAATCTTTTAACCATTACATAATGCTTATTACAGAATATAATAATTTTTTTGATGCCATGCTTATTTATCACTTGTACATAATAAATTAGGATTTATTATAAGTAATGTATATGAAAACACACAGACATTACATATAAAGTGTGTGATTCCAACTTCTTAGCAGAAGAGGGCTATCTCTTCAATTTTAGGTTGAGTGACCATGAGCATTGCATGGCTCACAATGTTTGCTTATCTTCTGCAAGTTTGCCTGAACATTTGGCAAAGACTTGCATATGGTCTTTGAGTTTATCTGCTCCTTATACACTTATGTGAGAGTCTTCAGACCTGCTTCTGACTCACATACTTTGTCATAAAATTGATAAATTTCTTGAAGATGGCTGTCAATGTAATTGCCTGAGGGTGATTTACCATTGTGAGTTGGCTGCTTTGGATAAGAAGAACATACCAAAGGAAAGAGTCTGTTTGAAGACTACATGATCAACTGTCTTTTTCTTTGTTTACCATTCAAAGATTATTTACCATTTTCCTCCAAGAGATCAACTTGCGGGCTTTAAACATTAATATAAGTTTTAAGATTGTTTTGAGCAATATCATTAAAATGCTTTTTTGGTTTGTGTTTTGGACACTTAACGATCTTAGGTAAATTCATTTCCTAGTCTAGTGAGATTTCCTGTCCATCTCTCTTTCATTCATATATGTAGGGATGAGTTTAGCCTGATAGGGGCAGGGAAAAATTGCCTTGGTGGATCCCTTAAAAATGAAGGCAATATGGCAATGACTAAGGGCACTGCAGCAATATTTTTTTAAATTTGCATAATTTAGATTTTTTATTTGTAAAAGTAATATTAACATAAAATCTTTAAAAAAATTGATGAAAATAAACAAGAAAACTCTAAAATCAAATATTTTTTATTGACAAGTAACAGATTATGATGACTAGAATTTTTAGCAATGATACATTGTAGTGAAACATTTTCAAAAAGCAAATAAAACATTATATCATTATTAGCTTAGATTGTGTTATGGAAAGAATGAAAATTGTTATATTACTGTATAAAAATATAAAGCTTTTACAGCATAAAATCAAAATAACTATTGAAACGAAAAGTAAATAGAGTAAATATCAAAATGATCCTTTACTTTCCGACATGAATATTAATTACTAATTCTTTGTAGATAAAAATATCTTTCACAACCAATTTTTGTTGCCTAGTATTCAAAAAAACTTCCTCTACTCAGGCAATTTGTCAGAGCAGAAAAATATTAATTTTTTATTATTTTAGATGGGGGAGGGGGTCCTGTTTACAATATAAATACAATATCAATCTGATCCCTGACTTTTTGACATACATGTAGTTTTCTTTCCTTTTTGAAGGGACCAATCTATTTAAGTATTGCTGTTTGAAAATGAATTGTATTATTACTATGTAATGTGTCTACATGAGGTTCTTTTCATTTCCGGTAGACATAAATATTGCAAGATTGAAATAAACTTGTAACTTTTCCTTTCATCTACTGTTTTTCTTTGAAAATATATCTGCATAGGGTTCTAGTCAAATTTTTTCTTAAAAATTCCCCAAGACCACCTTATTAAAAAAACGTAACATTTTTCATTCTTAATTAAAAAAAATTTTTTTTTTCTCTTTTTAAAGGCAAAAATTGCAGTGGCTTGTTTCTTAAGGGCACCTCAACATTTTGCCATGGTGCTGCAGTCTAAACTCATCTCTTTATATATATGATAAAAAATATAGTTTTAAAGTATACTATTTTTATGGGTGGGTTAAAGTGCATATAAATATAAAAGTGGACATACAATGAGGTCAACACCCACAAGGGACAGTCTGTTTCATGCTTAAACACAGCCTTCTGGCCTGAAGATTACATTTAAGCATGAAACACTCTCACCAGTGCATGTTGTCCACACACACACACACACACATATATATATATATATGGTGGACTCTCCTATCATGAATGATAAATGAGGATCAGCATTGAATGGTGCCTTTTGTTTTACACTTATGCTAGCAGGGGTTATTGTGGAGAAAATCAGGTAAGGGAAAGACATATTTCATTTATGTTTTCTTAAGTATGATACTAACCTAGGCTTGCTGCAGGTGACAAAGCCACACTTACAGATGAAATTTGTTAAAGCAGGATTTTGATGGAGTCTCCACTTCAGAGCTTGATGAAGCTTATCACATGCTTCAGTCTACTGTCTTCAAAACCCTTAAACTTAATGAAACATGTTTGATTTGATGCATGGGCTTCCTGGGTTTTCAGATCAAAGTTGAGACCTTTCAATTTGTCTTTGTAGCGTAAGAGTGGACGTCCAACTGAATGTTTGGAGTTTGGTAGTTATCCATACAGCAGCTTATTTGGAAGCCTATGCTCACCCATTCTCACAGCATGATCAGCCCATCTAAGTTGTATCTTTGCTATAATGGTTTCGAAGCCTGTGATGTTGTTACATTTCTTCAGTATTGCATTATTCTTGACTGTCATACACACACACACGCATATATATAAAAACTTCAAATGTTATTATAGTGTATACTCATGTTTGAAATAGATGCCCAATTTTTATTTTTAACAATGTGTTTTATATCTATTGGTCTGCGTATTTGAAAAATCTTAATAAAGCAAATGTGCACTCCAATAGAAATTGAACCTACAACCCCATTTTCTAGGAGAAACCACTGTTTGATCTGGTGTCCTTTACCGCTTGGCTACAAAGAGCATCACAGTACAGAAAGGCTCTATTTCAATCAGATTGACATCAGTGGTAACCAATCCATCAAGATCATCAATAAATAAATAAAATAAATGGTAATTGGTAGGTATAATTAGTCACTAACTCTCTCAAACCCAAAATGATTACAGATGGAGTAAAAGGTTGCTTGATTAATTGATTAACCATTTCAGGTCAGAAGTGTCCACAAGTTTCATATGTTTACAGTCTGTAAGAACCTGGTAGAACTAAACTAAAAAATGATATACCTTGCAATTATGTCTCAGATGAAATACTAATATACACAACACAAAAAATACAAAGCTGCTTCAAATTTAATCCTATTTGGAAGCTACTCATTTATTAATGCTTGTAAAGTGTTAGTCACAGGACGTAGGAGAAAAATTTGGTGGAGGGTGTAACTTAAATATTCATACAAATAATTACCACTGTAAAAATATAAGAAGGTGAAAAAATTACTTAGGGAGGAATTGAGGAAACATGGGATCCCAAGAGGAGGAATGTAACTGAGAACTAATAATCTTTTCCCAGTATGTCAGGTGGTTTGATATACATGGCAATTTTTGATGGAGTTTTTCTATTTGCTAATGTATCACATTGGTCCATAGTGATTTAATCTGTCTAAATTTCTGGGATGTTGAGTTATTGTTATTTACATGTGAACTATTGTCCACATCTTTGTTGTTCATATCACAAAGTTTGCATTCATCCAACAATCATATTTTGTAAAGTCATATCCTGGTCTGTTTGGATATTTTATATTCCAGCTGACCTTAAAGTTATCTCAAGCTGGTTGATACAAGCCCATGCCTGAAATAACAGTCAGGAACAATCTATTTAGTTTCCAGGTTATTGGAACAGAACCTGGTTGTTAAGCAAGATGTGGCTGTACATGATTTAAGATTTCAATTTTTCTTCTCACTGCCCACTGACTTTACTTGTACTCAAGCACTCTTCTTGATTTGAACCTGTAAACTCTCTATGAAGCATAGGACCACAAAAAACAACATGCAGGGATGTTGCAGCAAGTAGTTTTGAAAGATTTAAATTGTTAGCTCCAAGTGTAAATTCAGTCATCTTTCTCCTAGACTGGTTGCCAAACAAAGCCAAAGCAAGAAAGTCCAGTCTACTCTATTATATTGCCCATAGCAAAAGTGGGTGAACAAGATTGATTTATACTTTTACGAAGAGCAAAGTAAGTGAATGCAATCGAGTCAAGACAAAATTTGAACATGGCTGCCCAGTTTCCTTTTCCAAATATAATTGTCATGCAACCTGTACATTAGTTTTCTTCTGCTTAGTCTTAATTATTTTCTACATAAACAAGCTATTTTTAATTACAGGACAAGAGAAAATTAATTAAGCAAAAAACTTTACATCTTTTATGTAAAATTTTGAAATTATCTTTGAAATTGGTAATCTTGAGAGCTTAATAGTAGTATGTGAAAAAAAAGCATTTCAGCTCATGAATTTAAAATTTTTTTTATATTTTAAGAAATCATGTGACATGAGCATATTTTTTGTGGTTTCCATAAAGAGACTAAATTACATTGAATTTACATGTCCTCCAACCCTGTTAACTTTTATCAAAAATAATAAAAAATAATTTTTTCTTCTATTTGGGGTCTGGATTGCTTAACCTATAGTAATATGAAAAAAAAATTTAAAAAGACATGATTATTTCTGGTCACAGTGCCTATTTTACAAAGGCCACTGAAAAGAGTACGTCAACTTCAACTACTATTTAATGTATTTCTTATATGAAAACATGACAAGTTA